TGCATACGGAGTAGAACAGTGAATCGTGCAAGGTTAACTCCATCGCCGTGGTAAATAGAACCAGTTCTCTCGTACTTGGACTTAATTTCGCTGTAAATTTACAGGAAAAGTTGGTGTCGTTACGTCACTTACCTAGTTGATAGGTTAATTCGTATGTAGTTTGTTGTCTTCTAAATGCATTGACGGTGGAATGATTCATCATTGACGCTAATTAATGTTATTTTTATAAGTCAAAAGAAGAGATCATTTTTTTTATGATAAACATTCTACGAAGATACCGTAGCTTATTGACGAATCGTCAAGGTTCGCAAGCACGATAATCGGTCCACTGAACCTTTCTAGCGGATTTCTTTTTCCCGCCGTTGATAAAAGATTAGAGAAAATCGTGGGACATCTTGTTGCGGTAGCGGTATCTGTGGATGCAGGTGCGAGTCAGAATGAAATTGGTGAATCTAACGAAACACTTATTCCTTTTTATTCTCGATCGAAACATCTAATTCTCCGGATAAGTTCAGAATGAATAATTTTTTTAGCTACCGGAAGAGAATAAAGCTGTAAGCAGCTGCTTGACGAGCTTTTACTTTCGAAAGGTATTAAACCGTGGCAAGAAACCGAACGCGTTGCAATTAGAACATATGTACTCATAATTATGTTATACTCTTAACGAGCATATTATAACATTCTTCTCACTCGAGTGAAAGTATATTCACTATCGTCGTCATCGTTCGGATTGTTAAATTTTCTCTTAAAGCGTTTCCTTGTTCGTTTGGATATACTTTTGTCGTGGAATTTCATCTGGAACTAACGAACACCTGTTCCGATCGAAGCGAACAAACGTTCCGATTCAACCGGTGAAAAGGAAAATTAGCGAATGCCTTACATAATGCTGTATTCGATTTACATAACAACAGAGTTACGCGTCGAGCGATGCCTCTTCCTCTATTAAATGTAACTACGGTCATCTATCTTTATTTCCCTTTTCCTTTCTCTACCGCAACTTCCATTATGTTAACAACTGCTGCACGTATTAATTACTTCGAGGTGTTTGTTCTCTTAATTTAACTCTCGCGAGTGCAACGAATTTCGGTTTTTTTAATTTTCAAAACTTGAGGAGCACAATTTGAAAAGACAGTGGTTACTGGCTGCAGTGGCCAAAAGAATGAGGAGCTACTATTCCAGGTATTTCCTGTGTTTCGTGCGATTAAGTATAATATCATCACAATGAGCCGTAATTAAGCAGATATTATCGTGTCTCGTTCGCGCGTAACAAGGTGTAACTAAATGAATTACGCACGAGCTGTCGGAAGAAGAGGCATAACGAAAGCGTATTCGTGATTCGAGCCGGTGCTGCCAGATTTTTTTCTGTTCATCGTAAACCACTGTTCGCGTCGAACATTTGCGTGAGTAATAATTAAAAAAGTCCGAGAAGCGTAAAAATACACACTGGTCAATAAATAAATAATCCACGACTTCTCCAACGTTCTGTTTCCTTGCTCCTCGTAATACGATAAAAATGTACGAGCACGCGGAAGACAAATAAAGAAGCGTTACAACCAGACGTTTTACCGTTAAATGCGACAACTCATTTAACGAGAATCTATTTAATAAACGGACCGTGCAGGAGTGGTCGAAAGAAATTTGGAAAGAGGAAGAAAGAAGACACGGTCCTCCGGGTAAAAGAGGATTGAGATATTGGTCGAAACGATCCTGTCGTCGATACGTAGCCGTGTGTCATAAATCGATGTACAAAACACGCAGAAATGTCGAAGATGAAGACAGGCATAGGAGGTTTACGAAGTGAAAATATGCTGCAAAAATATTGAAAACGTTTCTGAATAGCGTGGTAGAGGAAGATTGGCAATTGTCGATAGCATCATCCCACTGTTACTCCGTCGCAATTTCACTACTTTATTCGAGCGAACAAGCTTTTGGAGTCGGCATTATTTAATCGGAAAAATGTCTCCTTTGAAAGGAGAGAAGACAACCAGCAGCCGACCAGCAGCTGTAGCGACGTATAGGGTCACGGGATCTGTTACATCCGGATCTATTATTCCGAGGCAGTGAATCGTAAATTAGCCAGGGATTCATCTTATGACCGAGTTGTATACCATACAGTTACACAGTAAAAAAGTTGCGATTTTATGACAGTATCGCATATTATTACAGAATTCTTTCGCGAGAAAATTAGAGTTTGCGAACCAAAGACAACGTTTAAAAAATGCATCGAAACTCTATAGACTACGATAAACAAATCGGTATTCATTTACAGCTTCCTACCGGCAGAGGGGTCAAAATACGCATAATACGAGATATTCAATCATGACGGCAAACGAACTCAGGAAATTCAGACAGCATAAGTGCGATAGAAGTCGCTCCTCCGACTCCTGTCACATGGAAACACGGGAAAATGCCGAGTTATAAAAGACAGCAGCGATTTCTGCACCGAAGCTAACGAGATTTCAATACGACTGTTGTATCGTCGGACGCGTTTTACTGCTCGACCATCTGTTCACGGTAATAATTAAAATTACCCTCTTTGAAGCTGGAACGACGTAAATGGTGTTTGATTGCGGTTCAATTATCCGTCAATCGATTTATCGATTGATTAATTGTCCGTGATCAACGTGCATCGTAATCGACTTTCGTAACTTGTTACTTTACCCGATTGGGAATCCTAGTATTGAATACTTCCGATAAATTATCGATTAATCGTTAGCGCCCGAACATCGACGTCACTCTCGATCGATGAATCAACATTTTGATCGTTTCGTGCGATAACAAGACGTACCATTCGCAGAAGTTGCGTTCATTTACGCGCTAAATTACGAGCGAAAATAATTGTAAGAGGAATAACACGAAACGTCGGCGAAAGGGAATAAGAACGCGAGGTTCTAATTTCTCTGGACCATGACACCGAGAACTTTGTAACACCGTGACAGATACTGCAACGCATTTTCTGGAAAGGACTCGAGTGTCGTTGATATCCAATTTTAGAGTAAAGTATCAAAGCCGATGCAATTTATAACGGTTGCTAACCGTACACCGTAAGCTTGAAATTCAGAGACAATACGGATTCACAAGTTCTTCTGACCAAATACGGGATCCAGGTGTATTGAAAGCAGATTCGAATCCGACTGAATAATTTCGAACAGTTGGCGAGTGACTAGGTGGGAAAGGTTCGAAGCAAGTACTTTCAAGTACAGCCGAGCTTTCACCAAATACGTCCACATCGTATACCGTAAGCTAAGAATTAAACGACATTTTTGTACCGTGACTATCCTTGTTTCTCACCTGCCGATATCTTCGATTAAATTTTTCGGCAAATAAAGATGCTGTTCGATTTCGAACAATTTCTCGGAGAAAAAGGAACGAGACACGGAAGAAAGTGGAAGAAGTTGGAAAGTGGAGCAGAGAGGCGTGGCAACTTGAATGAACGTAACAGAGAACCCGTCTATCAGACGAAGGGGAAGCTTGCTCCCTAGGTGAGATCCGCCGCCGGCTTCTAGCACGTTCACGACGTCTCACTCTGGTCTTATTTTACGAGTATAAAGTGGGTGTGTGTGTCGAGGCGGCTTCTACGTGGCCTTGCAAGGTCGTTTCTGTACACGGCCAAGGTGATCCTATCTTCTTTGCTCGTTCTTTCGTTCGATTCCCGCGCTACCATTGTCTTCTTCCGGTCAATTTTGCCGTCAACCGTGATTAATTAACTGCCTGTGCATTCGTGACGTCGCGAAATCAAATGTCTGCTGCATCGTCAAGAAAGTTGAAATTATAAAAGTTCAAAAGAAAGTTCATGATCCATCGCGTAACGGTGTTTCCTGGCAATTTTCAGTCGATTCGACATCTTGTTTGTTTAGACGGAAGCACGGGTGTGGGTTTCTTTCGGGCGAGAAGTTGTAAAACCATCCGACAACACCGGCGACGGTATTATTTATTGAAATTGATCAGGGATTAGAAACGAAACCGAGGAGGTTCCCCGACACTGTTAGATAGCTCTATTGGTTTGGAGGATAAATTAAGTGACAGGTGGATCGTGTTATTAAATGCCACGTCGATGACACAAACGTGAACATCGAATGATTTGTGTAATTATGTGTCGACTAGCGGAGTTCGCACTAAATATTTGGAGTTATAAATGTTCGACACTTTTGACGATATCGAAAGTTTCCTGACAGAATATTATTACACTAAAAATCTTCGCCCGGGCAGTCCACATTCTCGAATTAACATTTTCGTTGACTTAATGTCTTAATATCGGACATTAGAACCTAATCTTTTCTTCGGCTAATTTGTAAAATCTTGCGCGAAGATGATATATCGTTTCGTATACACCCGAATAACTGTTTTACAATGAACGATCAAAAACCGTCAGCGATATATAACTGTTTAACGATTTCGTGAAGAGAAATCGCGCGAATTTCAGAGATTACTAATTAACCGATGATACATCTCTCGTACCGTTTAAAAAAATGTAATATTTAGCAAGAACGAACCAGTTGCTAAATTTCTATCAATCACTACCGCTTTTTTTCTTAGCAATTCCGACAAACGGCAATGATTGACCCAGTCAAGATTAAAGGCCTCATCCTTCTTTCGGACGTTGAAGAGAGACGTACCAAAACCGACGGATTTTGGAAGGATGATTAATAGCTGGAGGTTAATTAAACGCGAGAAACGTAACGCTTGATACCGTGGATGTTGTAGTTAACTCGCAAAGATACCGATATGTTGTCAAAATTATAATGAACTCGGTACAGTCGCTGCTACTCGGCACTTTAATAGCCTTCATTCAATTAGATGCGAGGAAAAATTGTGGCAGGTGTCTGATGGATGTAGTCAGAACAACTGATACGAGTTAAAAATCCTACCACCTCAGCAACATGTTAAAGAGTAAACTTTCCTTAAATGCAGAACGTTTTCAACACCTTGCACCATTAAATATCACAAAGTTAATATTTCTAAATATCAAAATGAACCGATCGTAAGAAAAATGAACTCACCTGCTAAATTTCAACTGGATCCGACGAGCCATGCGATGAATCCTGACCGCTGCGATCGACGATGATCGATCACCCTTGTAGCACGTGCACGATGTCCGAATCCGCTTCACGCCTTCCAATGGATCTTCATTTCGCCAGCTTCGAACTTCGTACAGTACAATCCTTCTTTTTATCACAACATTCACTGTTCGTTCAAACTGTCCTGGTGCTTTTCACGAGAAACATCGAGATCTACGGATCACGAAAATGATCCCCTACGACTCAATTTCATTCGAACCCTGCCAATTTCCTCGTCCAGATTCGACTACCTCTTGACAGAGGACTCTTACAAATATTCGCCTCATACGAGACAACTCCGCGTGTCGAAAACAACCCGAATCACTTGCTGCCCCGATCTCTCGACGAAAGATCGCTTTTCACTGGACATCGGCGTTAAGGTTTGCTCATCGGCGCTCATGATCGTCCTACGGAGCTACAGAGAGGTCGCAGAAGATCAAGCGGCGGTAACGAGTACCATTTTCAAGAGACCCGTTGAAGGTAACGTTTACTGAAGTATGTTGCATGCGAGGCGTAGTTTCACATGGGTCAGATAAAAAAAAACGAGTGCAGGCGAGGACGGAGGGTTGATCCTAGAGCGAGCGTGTACCACGAGAGACAAGAAAGTAAGAAGCAAGGTAGGGTTTTGGATCCGTGCTGGTTGGTGGTCGAGTAGTTTGTGCCTGAGAGCGCAAGCGGAGCTACGACCATCTCCGGCTCGGTCTTTCCCTGCTGTTTCCTCGTCCCTCTTCGGATCCTGCGTCGCGATCCCTCCGAGAACTTCTTTCTCTTTTGGTCGTTCCTCTTTGCTAGATGGCGCCAACCAGTGATGGCCTCGACGAGCTTCTAACCGCGAAACTTTATTGTTTCGAATGGAAAAATCTATAAACTATGCGAAGGTAAATTTCTGAAGCTCCCTGGGTCATAATAACGTCAACGGAATCGTTCACAACTTATGAAACTAGAAGTTATTGCACGATTCTGTCTTCTAAACAGCGTGATAGTATCCGCTTCGTTTAATTCGTTGCAAAACGAAAAGTGGCAGTGTTGATCCAATGTTGAAACCGCGACGAGAAGAACGTGGTTCGAAGATATACCGGTTGTCCATTCCAGAAGAGGGTATCTGTTTATCGTGCCAGTAGCGAATCGCCTGTCTTCGTTTTGCTTTCTTCCCTCCTTCGAGTTTCCCCATCTTCGGATCGTATTGGAATAACTCCATAGTCATCTTCTTTCTTTTCCTCATCGTTCTCACCGACCTATTCATCGTTCGTTTCCTCCTCCGTGGTCCTTCGTCGTCCCTTTTCGAAGCGGTAACCGTCTTGGTATACGTTGCTGTATTGTCTTCTAACGATCGCGGTAGACTGACATCATCCTTTCTCGGTGATCAATTTTTATCGACATCCTTTCTCGAATAGGCTGCGAACGCTCTCAGAATTGTACGATTCGCCCCATCAATCGTTATTGCTGTCGTCTGCCATTTGTTCGTATTTTGAAGGAGAAACGTGCGCAGATCGATAATGTCTAATCGTATATAGATTTCGATCTTTTTACGCTTTCTCGAAAACTGGTGTACCCTCGCTAAAAATGTTTTAAAGTAAACGTCGAGTTGTTCTACTTCGAGGACATAAGAAGAAACGCGATGCGTTTAGTGATCCGTATTGGCGATAAAAAATTGAAAAATCGTGACGATTTTCCCGATCGGCAACGTCGTTCACGGACGAACACGTACCTACTCGAGCAGACAGCTAGGCCCAGTTTCTAGTTCGCAGACTATCAAAGGCTATCATAATCGGAATCATAACCGTGAACAAACTATGCGGAACGTCGTTTTACATTCCAATCGTTCCCCGAATTCGTAGCCGATCGCGAGTCAATGTTTCGCACGCTGGATAGGCGATTTTCCACATCGACCAGACAATTTTATCGACACCTGTGTTTACAACTCTGGAGATACTCGAAGAAAATGCAACTCCATCAAAATCATCGTAAACGCTTTCCAAGGGGAGGAAAGAATTTTACTGTCCCATGCCTAAGGCTCGAGCCTCTTAAGTAGTTTTACCTACAACTACTTCCTCTTTTCTCTTTATCTCCCTTCTCCGATATAATCACCGTAAGATGACCGAAAGTATCGAAACAGCCGAAGAAATTGTCTACTAATTAAGAGGCTACGATTACGCAAACGACTGATCGATACTAACATTCAACAAATTGCCGATCGTCACGCGTTGCGTTCGATATCGTAAGAAAAAAAAGAACGACTGAAAAAGCGACACGTACACGGGGAGTCACGGTAGATAAGATAAAGGTAGCTTGTTAATTGATATTTTATGCGGCGATTTGAACGAAACGTTTCAACAAGTAGCTGTCCGCTTGATCCCCGAAGGCCGCATAAAAAAAGAGAAAAACTTGATGTGCGTGCGTAACTACTATAATTTCACCTGGCCAATGAAGAATCCAATAAAGCATCGGCTCGATGATAAATTTTTAATGGCTGGTTACATAGCCATCGGCCGGTTGCCGGCAAAAATGTTCCAGCTATCAAAATTTACAACGTTCGACGATATTTAAGCGAAGATTATTTATACGAAGGATAAGATAGACTGCGTTTAAGTGTCGCCGGTGAGTATCGTTTCCAGGAGAAGTGAGAAATGTTCCTAAAGTAACCCGAAATGTTCTTTCATCGTTTCGTGCAGACGGATCGTGCTTGCTCGCCTCTCCAACGATGAATGATTAATTTATTCACGAACTCCGCTCGCTATAAAAATTTGTAAAACGATCTTCACCCGGGGAAAATCGATAACATCTTTTCACGGTTAATATAAAGAGCACTGGTCGCCAGCAAACTCTCGAACTTAACGATCGACGACCATTTTCGAAACGAACAGTTCTTCGCGAAGAATACCTTATATCGTAACTTCATTGGGAATCGGTGTAATAAGCTTCGCGCGTAATTACCCCCGGTTCAAGGTTTAACTTAGACGAACAAGATGGTGACTGAGATTTTTCTTTTACGCTAGAACACGTATTACGAATACTACGGCTAAAGATAGCCCAGCGTTCAGAATTGCTTGCATCGAAGAATTAGCCCCGTTACGTGACATCCTACACTCTCCAGAGTTTTTTATAGAAACGGTTCAAGATTTCGTCCATAGTGTTATGATTGCACCGATCGTCCGATTACATGGTCAAATCAGGGGAAGAGCATGGGCTGCACAATCAAAGATGCCGTTTTTATTCGTATGATCGGCCACGAGGATACCTGGCCAACGGGTGAATATTGGCTTGACCACCCGGAAGGTAATTAACGGGTAATCGTTGGTATTTTTTCGTTTTCATCGAGCACTCTTCCGGTGCAGCGACGATAATCGCGACCCTGTTTGATGAGAGTAGCCCTCAAACATTCATTATGATCCGTCGAAAAGAAACACGCGAGTTACGTGGGTTATAACGCGCTTCTTGCCGCATTACTTTGGAATTTTAATCAACGCGATTTCGATCGAATTTCCATCCGTGACCGTCGCGATTTTGTGTATTATTGGGGTGATTTAGCACGAGGCTGCTCGGTCGGGAACCGTTGCAAGGTGCTCACAAAGAAGCCGAGAGTTACGAAACGATAATAACCAGTATGGTCAATTAATTAATAAACGAAGAAAATTTGCCTTTTCCATATAATTATGTTTCACTTATCGTAAATCGATAGCAATTAAATAAGAACGATTTCCTGATACATTTTTTAGCTTCAACGCGATCGAGTTTGCTGTAGTTTCCATGTAACCTCTGGTCTCATATACGTCGTTATTACGATTTATCAAGCGATTCGATCGTTGCACGATTAACTGGTACCGTGACACTTTCCGTTCACCTTCCTCGTGGAACACCCACTGTGCCAGGCTTATTAATTTTCATGATTAAACTTGGAGGATGAGATGACGGTGCCCAGTGCGGTTGCCCTAAAAAATTCATTAAACCCAGTCCAATTAATCCCTCTTCCCTCGCTTGTCTATCCTGTGGCTCCGTTAAATTTTTACCCAACCGCGAAGTGTCTCATCTTCTTCTCTTATTTGGTAAATGAAATAGAATCTAAAATTGAATTTAAATTGTCACCATTTTAGCAGCTCTGGGAATTGCTTTATGATCGTTCTTTCCGTTATCACTGCAATAAAGTGTAATTATAATTTTCTTAATAACACGGCACCGCGTTATATCTCAAAGGTAGTTTCTTAATTGAACAATAACTTTTATCGCGCCCTGACACCTGTTTCATACGAAACGTCTCGTATAACTCAGCCACGAAAGGGTCAGACTTTGATAAACGAGGAAAAGAGAACTGGCACAGAGGGCAATCTTCGATAACGAATCCACTCCAGTTTCTGAGGATATTCGGCTTCCTACAGAGGTTCCGCATCGTGTTCTCGGCGAAACGAAGAAGGATGCGTTTAACCCACGGGTCAGACGAGATCGAGAAAGAACCCGGCGCTGTATGAAAATTTCAACGCGGAATTTATGCTTCCGACGAAAAAAGCACCGTGATAAGTCGAAAAAGATCGCTCCGCGAGGACCACACGCGAAACCCTTGAATCTGGCAGGATCTCTGAAATTCCTGAATCATGTTTTAATGTATCGTTCACGCGGTAACTGAAGCTTCTCGAAAAATATTTCGATTACACCCCGTGTTTGTCCGCGACTTGAGATTAAACTTTATTAGACAATAAAATTGCGTGCGTTCCATGAAATGGTAGAAAGATTAATAAATGGCTATTTATGTCATGTAGCACATTCAGAATGAAATTAAACACAAATTTTATCTTTAACGAAGTAAGCGGGAAACGGAATAAAATTTCACAGTCGACGTTCTCGCCACATCTTGATTAAAAAAAGAATATAAAATCGTAATTAACGTTCGCATTAAGACTGTTTATCAAAACTTGTTCGTCGCTTTTTCGACTGAAAACAATTCTCCCCGATCTCGAAAACGAAAGAAACACGATCGCGTGAAAATGGCAAGAACTCGCGCGCGGATGATTAGTACGTTTCCTTCTCGTGGAAAAGAAACGACGAGCAAGAAGTCTCAGCCGCAACAAAGCAAAGTCAGCGCAGCGGCGATACTAGCGACAGAAATGGTACTTAAAGAAGGCCTACAGTTAGGTAACATGTGGTAAAGCGACCATCTGTCTAGGAAGCAAGTGCCGTCGGTGAGGCGACCAGAACAACGGCCATCATCCTTCCTTCTCTCCGCTTTGGCGAACTCGTCTAGCTTCTATCTCGTAACAAGCCAGACAATTATGCTCGACCGATTCGAGTATGTACCATCGTCTGCTTAATTATTCCTCGATAAATGGCGTTTCATCAAGAGCCATGACTTTGACGTTGATTCAAAGAAAGATTTACAGAACGTTCCGACACAATGTTCACGATACTCCTTATTTCCATACTGGATGGTACGCGTAACTTCATTCAGGAGTTATTTCTTTGTCGGTGCAGTTTGAAACATGTTCGATGTGGACGCGTCAAATTTTCATTGCCTTACAATAGAGTAATTTGTTCCTATTACGCGAAGTGTGTCTTCAACGTTTCGTCCGAATAAAATAACTTAATCACCGTCAAATGAGACGATAACCCTTGGCTTCTCGTTCTCACTAAAAGACGCGTAACCCCTTTATCTTAAAGATGAGATCACTGGATAATTAGATAGCAGGTTAGAATATACTCGGGTGTTATGTAGAAAGATGTATGGGTAACGACAGTGTGATTAATAGATGGTAATCTTAAATTTCTAAGAAATTTATTAAGTCCTACAAATTCGATGCTATCGTAAGTCCCTCGTTTTAGCTACCGTTCGGAAAGACATATGTGTCTATTAGCGAACAAATATTTCGACATCCAAAAATACTTCGAATATTGATAGTCTGGGTAAACGAAACACCCTGTACGAAACAGGTAGGACGCTATAAATCAAAGTGATAGTAATCGGTCAGATGGAAGCGTAGACTGTAGGTAGCATGATGAACCGCGTTGCAGGATACTCCAGTCGACCACGAATATTCTCGTATTTCAGGGAGACGAATGACAGCTTCGAAGCAGTAAAAGCCTCGCTTACGCTTTTTAATTATCTTCCCTTGGATTTCGTCCCGTTCTCGATTTAACGACGAAGCGCCGCAGTGATCTTCACGGTACTTAATCGACGCATGGCTACGTTCGCGTCTAATCGTGAATTAGCTACGCGACGATCGTTTGCTAATTTGCATCTAAAGAAACGCAACTTTAGTTAATTAACTAACCGCCATCTAATACAAAACGCGTAAGCACCATGCATCAACGATATAACGCGTTCTTGGCTGTTATTGGACGCGATTAGCGAGCACAAACAGAACGAATCGGTAAATCCGTGGTATGCTAGGCGAGAGAGTTCCGTCGACCATAATTTGCAAGGTTGCTGGCCCGAAGCTATAAATGGAGGTGGGGATCATCGCGAGCGTGACGAAGGAACAGGTTGCCATAGACTCGTTAACGATTATGAGCTTTCCAAAAATAGTACTTCTATTCTTGCTTTCGACCTCGGTCGAGGTCATGCCCGAAATATTAGGTTGGTGTTCACTCGATGAACGCATTCGTTCACCGCCGCAGTAGAAACAGTCATGACTGGTAAGACACGTGATAATGTGGATCATAAGGAATAATTTAATAATGCCTTATTAGTGATACTAACTTTGTGTATACTTGCTAGCAAAAATAAGAGATCAACTTTCTAAGGTATAATGATTTTTCAAACTGTACCTTTTTATAGAACTATACCTCGGAAGATCGTAGCGTATTTTCATGATACGCTACAATGTATACCCTTCAATACCGATAGAATCGTGACATCAAGGATCCGTCGTTTGCATATTGTTCAATAAAGTGAACACCGAATAAGATCCTTTGACTATCTGCAAAAGTGCATGGCGATTTAGAAAAATGAAAAGTATATCGTTTCGTCGTTCGTTAACGCGTACGTACTGCGATGAAGGTTTCCAGAGATAACACGAAAAATATTCCAGCTTTTAAAGTTAACGTCCGTCTGGTGGACATAGTTGACAACGTGAACACTTGCACGATGCTGGGTAAATGTTCGTGATGCCAGTCTGAGAGCCACTGACTCTTATCCAATACGGAGCTCTGAATAATGATTCGTGTTTAAGAATTTTGTCGTTTTAAGAGAAGACTCCATCGATTCATTATGCGCCGAACGATCCATCAACGCTTCTAATTAGCTCTCACCGAATAGCTTAGCTCGTTTCCTATCCAACAGATGTACAAAAGCTGAGATACGGCGGCACTCAAGTACATACCGAACTTCATGATGTCCGAGCTCTGCCCTCCGACCTATTACAAATTATACGAATCGATCACGATTCCATCAACGCACTGGACCATCGATTCTTACCACGACAGCTTGAAAACCGGTCAGGCAAATCATCGAAGTACTCGAAAGCATCTGAACGAACATGCTAGAGCTGAAAAGCCTATTGTATTCCTTGCTCAAGGTCACTAGTCGTTGATGAAATCGAATACAATTTTTGTATCGATGCAAAAATTTGTTCGAGTCCCATTTGTCGCGCTGTCTTTCCTCGCAATTACGTACAAGGCAAATTTCATTTTCCTGGTAAAACCAAACTTTGATCAAACTTTTGGAACATATATAAATAATAGCGAATGATCTTACGTTGTTCGCCGATCGACCACTGCAACTTTCGAAATTGCAGCTTAGAATATCGAGAAGCATGGTTATTATGCTGGACATATATATTGTAATACTATCCATACCAACGATCGCAACCAGACCACCACTAACGGCGCAAGTTTCGATAAAAAAACTAAGCTCGTGCCAACCCGGTGTTGTCGTGTTAAAAGGATACTTTGCTCTAATTGGTAAATCGTTCTGCCTTGGCGAAGCGAACAGAAGAAGAAATCCTAAAGCGCATCCCAATGCGCTGAACCCCCAGAAGGTAACCGTGATACGTAGTCGATACTTATCGATGATGGGTTTTATAGACTCCTCATCTAGAAAATGACATTTCACGATTGACTCGCAATGGAATCGATGAGAAATCGTTTCCGTAGGAAACAAACACGTGTGGTGTACAAAACGAAAGAAGAGTCGATTGCACGTTTGGGAGACAATAATTCTGCGATACACAAAATTTGTTGGTACATGCTACGAAATATCGTGTCATGTCACATCACAGTATTGTGATACGATGATACATAATATGAAATTTTGCTTCGTCGTATCGTGAAATGTAACATGCGATGTTGCATGACTGCTTCGAATTTCGAATTGATCTTATTGAGACATAAAATGCACTATAAAAAATATGTTCACTTACTTGAAAACTCGCAGAGATCGTCGGAACACTTCAATACTTTGTCGACAAACAATGCTATCTTCTTCTGTCGGATTTGGTAATTCATCGTTTTGAAAATCACGACAGCTATCCCGGCGAAGACACATCCATCGTCGGAGGTAATAGACAAATTGTCTATGTTGTCGCAAATATCCGCGAACAGAGTAATTGCAAATATGTACATCGCACTCAGCGTCCACCCTTTGCAAACTAAATATGCACTTTTCGATAACCATGGATGTCCTGGATCGATTACCCAAAGTCCGCTGTACCTAGCGGGCAAACAAAGTGAAAATTCTGATAAAAATGCAAAACTAATTTTTATGCAACAAATGAAAGATCTCACTTCAAGTAATTTATTTGAATGTTTATCAATTTTCGAAACGCTACCATCCACTTGTGCCCTGGCGTTCGAGCCATCGAGAACGAGTTTCTTTACTGGAACAACTAAGAATGCGTTCTCAGGCAAAGTCACGAAGTTTGTTGCATAGTATGTACTTTAACCCTGTCACGTTATCATCGGTTATTTTCGTTCGATCTGACACGGTTCTCGTTGAGAAAATTATAGATAAACGGTTGCGATTGCACGGCCGTTTTCCGGAATTATAGATTCGGTCATAGTGCACGTGTCAGGTACACGAAGTTACTTCCGCGAATGTCGATACAAGTGGCAGTGATTGTATGCCGATAGATGAGCAAAGACATGTTTCGATATATGTTTGCGCGAATAACAGGGACAGTGCAATGGAAACGTGTTTACCGAGCAATTGTATCGAATGATGTAACTAAAACGCAACTGTGACAGCAACTGTTTTGTGTCCCTTCGCTTCGATAGGGTATTCGTGTTTGTGAAGCTACTGATTTGGAGGGAGTCGAATGACATGTTCTTTAGTGTTCGTTCCGATTCATTGAAATAAAGTGCTTGATAAAAAAAATTACTTTTAAAAAAATGGAAAAAAAAAGCTTCCGGTACCGGGAATCGAACCCGAGCCTCCTGGGTGAGAGCCAGGTATCCTAGCCACTAGACCATACCGGATTTTCGACTTCTTCGTTTTACAATACTCATTATATCATACAATATAGTTCAATTATTGTTAATACATATTGTTTATACACTGAAAATGTTATTTTATGCTATTATAATTATTCAACAATACAAAATACAGCGTTGCATTAAAAAAGTGATATAACATACATTATATGTATAACTTTTATATTTTAATAAATATGTATATAAAATTAAATTTTAATGGATTAATACTTTTCATTAATGTCTTTGAAATAATTAGAGATGTATTTGTTAAGTTTTGTGGATAAAAAAAATAAATGCACTTTGACGGGAATCGAACTCAGAACATTTGCTGTATCTACGTATTAATGATTAACACCTTCTTAAAAATGATGTTTTGATTAATTTGATCGATAAATAATTTTGTTGAAAAGCACAAAAGAATTTGTCAGAAGTGGGATTCGAACCCACGCCCTCAGAGAGGACCAGAACGCCCATAATCTCAGTTTTGAACTGAGAAGGTTAAGAACCTTGAGTCTGGCGCCTTAGACCGCTCGGCCATCCTGACAGTTGGTGTCGACTTCTCACAAAATCTATGACATCGTTCTTACTATATTATCGACCGATATATTATATTAAAGTGTTTCACCTAATTCAATAATTAAAACGAAAAACCAAAGAAGAAGTAAAACGAAGTATATCAGGTAAGAAATTAAGAGCTAAAATTTGGATCCTTAATAAATCGTATTTCGCTGTGTCTGATGACAAACGTCTGTTTCCACTTCGTACAAACTAATGTGTCCTTTTCTACTAAATCTTAATGGAAATGTCTACTTTCACTGCGAACGTGTTAATTATTTTTGCGAAGATGTGCATATTTCGTTGTACAAAAAGTTATAAACAAATCCTATGATTATCTTTACTTGAAGAAACTAAAATGAAACACAAAAATGGTTCAAAGACAATAATTTTGAATTTTATAAAAATAATATTTGTGGTTATAAAAATGATAGAAAGTGAAATATTTAGTTAAGAAGAAGAATGATAAAAAGTAATTGTTTCCGCCCGGGATCGAACCGGGGGCCTTGTGCGTGTGAAGCACACGTGATAACCACTACACTACGGAAACTGTGTTATTAACGTTTCTTAAACTTACTACAAATATTTATTTAAATAAACAAATTGAGGGCATAAAAGTTTTGCTACTTTTTATTATACCTTTACATGCATAACTTGGGTGTTAATCTTAAGTACAAGTACTATGGTAGCATCGGTTAAACGAGGTGTCAGGTTGGATCGTAAATAACTTAACAATTTACTGAGTAACCGAATTCTGCAACCGGAAGAATGCGGAAGGAGGTAAATAAGACGCCAAGTAAATTCTTGAATCCTTTAATGACCGCATCTGTTTTACAGCGTGTATCGAGTTTCAAGAAATTGGAAACTGAAAATTTGGATAAAGTTAACGAAATGATAAGTGGAACTATTAGGAGAAAATACTGCGTCTATAAAAGTTTAACATCACCCCATATATTATATTTTATTATCTAATTATTAACTAATAAAGACTTCCGTAATGCGATAGATGCGTGAAAGACCACCTTAATAGAGTAGTTTACGAATTTATAGCCTCATGAAATGAAGAATAAAAGTGCGTGAAACATATGGGTAGCGATTAAATAGTCATTCGAATCTTTCATTAAACAATACACGTTTCTGTGAGGATTCAAAGGGTTAAACATCAATGTCGGGTTTAACGTATTATCAATTTATTTACAAAATTGCTATAAATTATTTGCTGGAAGTCAATGAACGTGGTGTTATACAAATTATTCGATATCGTGCTCGCTTTTACACCTACCAAGTGTAAGATGCATGTTAAATGGAACTAGTAGAATGTCATGAACAAGTGATGCATCATTTAAATACTTATAACTACGTTTAACGTAACGAGTATTTTCATGGTTGTTAACAATTCCGATCTTTTATCGTTCCGAACGTAAATGCATCGTCGCAATTGTTACATTCAAATGCAATGCTTACTTGAATAACCGTTTAAATAACATTTCGAGATCGAGGAAAACATGCAAATGCTATTTTGATTGAGATTCAATATCCTTAAGTTTCATGAGTACACTACTTAAGATTACGTAACAAATACTGATCAGTAATCTGAATGAGAATGAAGTGCAATGAAATTCAATGTATTCATGAACTTGATTAGACTAAATCGCTTTTAAAAACATAAAAATGCTTGGTTTTAAAAGTTAAAATTTCGTTAAATTACTATCGACAAAGTAACATCTATACTGTACAAAAGAAATGTACATACACATATGTTGCTAGCAACGCATACACTAGGCCTTAGGTAAATTTTCTAATAATTTATAGTGTATACAGTGCATACATTGACTCGACGTTGAACTTTGCTTGCAACATACAGAAAAAAAATTGATTGTTAATCGAAGATGAACGTGAAAAGAAATAAATTCATTTCTTCTTTTTATCGCAGTCGGTTGTTTTCTGTATTATGAGTTTATTCCGTTGTCTGGTTACTTTGGTTGTCGGACGACTGCTTGGAGGAACTTGTTTGATTCCTTGCTGCGATATTTTAGCTGGACTAGTTGTACGCGGTGGTGTCGGGCCCTTCAATAGGGCCTCGACGTCTGCCAATCGTTTCTTTAACATTTTATTTTCGCGTTTGTACTTGGCAAGTTCCGAATCCTTGTCCAATCTCTCGTGACCAGAACTTCCCGTCTCCTCCGCAAAATGTCTGAACATTAGGTGCAATTTCTCCTCGTGTTCCCTTTGCATCAAAACTATTCTTCTTTCGGCTTCGAGTTTGGTCTGTTTCAAAGCGTTCGTCAACATTTGTATCTGCCATTCTTGCGTCTCTATATGGTTCTCCAATTCTGCTGTTTGAACCTCCAAGTTTTTCGAGCTCTCTTTAAGATCGATCACTTTCAAGAAATACTTGTAGAACAACGTTCTCATTTCGCCGTCCGAAAGTTTTGCCAGTCGTTCCATTAACATTCTTTCTCCTTTCTCGCGTTGCGACTGATTCTCGTCGAAACCTTTCCTTCCGCAAATCATTTCGTTCTTATGTTCGATCATGGCGTCAATGGCTTCGATGGTCTCCCCGCATTCTAACAATTTCCGTTCCTCCACCGTCGACAAAGTTTTCTCTTTATGAAATTTTTCATCTAGATCGCATTTTTCGTCTACCAAACAATCTCTGGTGCGTCGTAGATTTCGAATCTCGTGACGTAAAGCTTCTTTCTCGTCTATGTCCGCTGTTCTCTCCAAATCCATGGACTTTTCCTTCAAGACATGATCAAGGTGCGATATTCTTGCGCTAACATCCAGTAGATTTTTCTTTTTGTCGGAGTAATCGGTTCTTGATTTACTATTTTTTTCATCCTCGCTTTCCGACTGCATCTCTTTCAGCTTGGAAGCAGTTAAATTGTACTTCTCTTCCAGTTCACGGATTTTCTTTTGATCCTCTGCAAGTTCCTCCTCCAATTGTTTCTTACGTTCTTCTTCTTTTTTTAATTGCTTCTTCAGTTTCTCCATTTGTTTTTTAGAAGTGTTTAAAGAACTTTCGAGTTCCAAAACCTTCTTTGCCGAATCACCTGCGATTTGCTTTATCATTTCGATATCCATTAATCTCTTTTCGTAGTGAATCGCCATGTTCTTGTACAATTCGATTTCTTTCTTGTGAGCAGACTTTTCCTCGGAATCTTTGTAAATAGATGCATTCTCTGCCTGAGCTAATTGGGTTCTCGTATTGTAATATTCTTCTTCCAACTTGCTCCATTTACGTTGAAATTTCTGTTTTGCACTGGCACGCGCATCAGAATTCTTTATCATGTCTGCGATGAACCGTTCTTTGATTTTAATCGTCGTTTGAAGCTCTTCTATGCGTTTATGAGCACCGTCGAGATCCGACTGAATTTTTTTCACTTGCGTTTGTTTTACTTCATTGTTCAAAGCCAATGTTTTCAATTCTTTGATCGGCTCTGGCACTTCCGTCGTTTTAAGAGCATCAATCAATAGGTCTGGTGAATTATCATTATGAATCGTAACGTTTTCATTAATTATCGTTTCAGTATCATGATTATCTAAGATTTTCGTATTAATTAGTTCTAGTGTTTTATTATTTAACATTTGATTGTGGTTAGGTTTAAGACTATCATTGAATGCTAATACTTCGTTACACATTTCAGAACCAGGGAGCATTGAATTTCTTCTTGAATTTGGATTTCTAAATGGAATAGGCTTAATTGCAGATACATAATTATTATTACTATTCATAGATCTTGTTATAGACGAAATGAGTCCAATATCCGTTTTTCTAAATTCATCCTTTTTGGAATCAACTATTCTATCTGTTTCTATCTTGAGTTTAGTTATACATTCATCCAACTTTTCCAGAAAGTCAGGATTTTCAGAACTCGCATCGCTGTGATCTTCTTCGTCTTCTTCTTCTTCTTCCTCTTCATCCTCGTCGTCTATATCGGCATCGTCGTCGTCGTTAGTTTCAGACAGTTCACCTTCAGAACTAGATAAACAATTGATATCGATCTTTCTTTCTATTTTATGAACAGATTCATCTGTCTTTTCGTCTGTCTCTGTAACTTCTTCGATCCTTTCCAAGGATCTCCTTGTGTTGTCATTGTAACCGTGTAAACTACCTGTATCATCATTTGCAATACATTCTTCGTACTCTTGTTTCATACAAAGCCACTGTTCAATTTGATCTTGTTCCGTATGAGGTAGAATGTTACTTGTCATGAGTTTATTAAAAAGACCTTCAGCATTTGAGACTAGTTTAGACCATTGTGCCGCAGCAAATTCCAATCTAAATATATCAGCGCTAGAACTACGTTTCCCTGATGTAGCGGTAGTCATTGTATCCTGTGTTTCATCCCCGACTTGTTCATTATCATCTTCCATGACATGCTGTTCATGACTGTTTTGTGGATACGATGGCACAGTAGATACATAAGGTACATAGCACTGATGTTGATCCAACATCATTTGATGATGGATCCAAGGTGTATAATGCATCATTTTGAATATGTTATATATTATAATTTAACATAATAAATAGAAATTAATTCGGTTACATGGACTGTCCTGAAAAACAAATAATAATTTTCTACCACTATCCCTCCTGCATAAAAACATTAAAGATTAAAGCTTCACACTTACATTTACTGTTTCTAACCTATTTGGAACTCGTCGTGTTCCAAAATTCTGTTTAAAACATTGTAGTCTTTTATGTTAATTCTACATTTTGATTAATTCTAATTCTTTCGAACTTTATCCTCGTACGTTTAAACACATTTGACAGACTGTTTTACAAGGTTCTGTGTTCAATAACCAACAGAAATGTCTAGCAGAAATTGTTGCCAACACAACAATTACTCGACAAAGTAATCATTATGAAATATGATTTATTAATACTTAGATTTTCAACATCATGAAATGTCATGAAGCAGTTCATTTGTATTAAAAGTTACATGCAAGTAATTATTGCAAAATAAATGGAGTAGTATTCGGTCAGTTATTTAGAATGAACATACGCGGTATGGCGCGAAAATATATAATTGATCTAACAATGATACAATACAACATAAAATGAGCCAGATAATAAATATCCAATAAATGATTATTGTATGAAAATATATGAACGGATAATGCGTAAAAATTAATAAACTCTTTTGAACTTTTTGAATAATCTGTTATTGGTAGCACTGACTACAAAGTGATTGAATCCGTAATTTGGAAAAGCGATTTATTAAACAAATTTCCATTTTCACTTACCGAATGACAAATTTCCCATGATGTTGCCACTTCTATTCCTTGTGTGAATAAACAAATCACTTTTATTAAACATAATAACACTTTTATACACATTCAAAGAGCACACAATATTTTCGACACTCGTGCGCGGCGGTAAAAGTTCGCGAACTGTTCCCGCTCAAAAAGAGTCAAATGAACTTTTAATAATTTTTATTTTATACAACAGATGTATACAAAATTTATAAAACGTATTATACTATTTTTTAAATAATTATAATGGTAATAAAATACTGATAAAAAGGTATTACAATATTGTTAAATTCTTAAATAAAATATAAGTACTAGGTCATACATACATGAGCCGCCTATGTCAATTCTACTGCACATGCAAAGTGCAATATTTCGGCACTTTGACGATGTAGTATGGTACCTGAGGCATTTAGAAACAAATTTCTATTAGGGTTTGATGCGTTTTGATGCCTAATAAAGCCAGGAAATCAATTTTTGTCGAATTCGGTCGAAAACGGTACAGGTGGCGCCATCTAGCGGCGAGCGGCGGAACTACGAAAAACTAAAATCTCGATTTTCTCGAAAACTAGGGACTTTTCCGAAATTCTGAGATATACAAATTGTTCCTTGTCGCCTACGGAATCGAACGAATCTAATTATAGCCCGCTAGGACCATTATTAAGGAAAATAGAAAAATAGCCCATTTCATGGACTAAAAAATTGGCGTCCATCT